TAATTGCCACAACAACCCTATGAGGTAGGTACTGTTATCACGTTCATTGAATATATGTGAATATTTAAATCAGAGAAAGATTCAATGATTTTCTCAAGGCCACATAGTTGTTGTGTGCTGGATATTTCAGAGCCTTCAAACGACTCCTTAGAGAAGGAAACTGATTCCTAGGGTGGTGGTTTAGTCACTAAGTCTTGTCTGACTCTTGCGACCCCATGGACTGTAGCCTGCCAGGCTCCTCTGTCCTTGGGATTCTCCAGGCAAGAATGCTGGAATGGGTTGCCATTTCCTTCTCCAGGGGATCTTCACAACCCAGGGACTGAACCCGGGTCTCCTGCATTGCAGGCAGATGCTTTACAGAGTTACGAGGGATGCCAAGGGAGATGAAGTCATTTGTCCCAAGAACTCATATTTAGTGAGTTGTAATTCAAGCCCCGGCTCTGTCTGGTACCAAAACCATGCTCTTAATCACTACACTGTCATGAATGGAAGCTATGAAAATAGAGACTATGTGTACATTTTTCTAGATCCAGCTCTGTAAGGCAACATGTTCCCTGAACTTAATAGTAAAAATTGCCCTTATTCCGGGGAGCTGATAGCGAGAGCATGTACTTCCTTGATAATGCACCACACAGTATGATGCAGCCAGGGCATTTGCCGAAAGCCTCATGGTGAAAGAAGAGACTGAGAAAGGCAGAGCAACTCAGGTGGGGCAGCAATAGCTGAGTTCTCAAGTGACTTTCAAGTGACTCTCAAGTGAGTTTTCAGGTGACTTTATGATAGGAGCTGTACTTTTTTCTTTCCGTGAAGAGAATGTTCTGTGAGCAAGAAAGCCTCTGGTTCAGATGGCCTTCCTTCTCCTGGCCTAAGATTTGATAACAAGCTGTTCTGATGCCACCAGTCTAAGTTTGTAGATTGCAAACTCTATCCTAGATGTACATCTATCCTAGATGTATAATGAAGTGAGTATGAGGCTGGGAAGAAGAGGCTAATTGCTATCCCTTCAAGGATGACTGGCTCTCCAGTAGAAACAGCATATTGAATAGGGAGAGGCAGATGGTTGTACTGCCAGAATCCCTGCTCCTATACTCGCTAATCACTGACAGAGTTTTCATTTCATGCTTGGCTTTTGCAACATAGCTTAATACTAGTCTTCTTATTTGGCATGTTAGTAATGTTTAATCAGATCATTATCATTCTTTCTTCAGTAATGCCATTTACCAGGTTTTGATGTCTTCTGTACTTAGGTTCTATACCAAAGGACCAGTTTGAGTATGTGTGTGTGCATGCATGTGTGTGTGTGTAAACTTTATCTGATTTTATAAGTTCCCTTCCAAGTGTATTTTTCTGTAATCAATAGGTTAATGGAAAGCAAATCGATAGAAATGTGGTATATAATAGACCACATGAGAAGTCATGCTTTCATTCAACATATACATACTGAGTCTTCCTATGTACCAGAGTCTGTGTGGGTTAAATAGTTGTATAACATGTCCTCACAGAGCTTATTCTACATCTCTTCCATTGAGCAAGGGATAATACTATCTGGGTTCCAAATCCCTTGGTGGTTTCTATGTTTGCCTGGTTATTCATCAGCAAAGCAACCTACAAAGATCTTTAAACTCAACATAGTGAATTTGAATTTAAGATTTTGACAGCCCAAAATGACAAGATATTAGTAATAATTATAACATTAATAATAGTGAACTGAGAATGGAGAGGCAAGTAGGGACACATAGAAAGATTCACAGGAGGCAATATGTTCTGGTTAAAGTTTGGATATTTGCATGGCTCAGTGAAAAGGGAAAATAATGTTAAGAGTCAACATTTCATCTAGAAGTGTGTCAATTCTTTGGTGACAGGTGGGGTAAAGGCTTATGATAAAAAGTGAAAGGAATACATTTTATTCACTACCTTTCTTCCTGAGCTTCCCAGGTGGCTCAGTGGTAAAAAAAAAAAAAAATCTTCCTGCCACGCAGGAGATGCAAATTCAATCCCTGGGACAGGAAGATCCCCCTGGAGAAGGAAATGGCAACCCACTTCAATATTCTTTTCTGAGAAATCCCATGGACAGAGGAGCGTGGCGGGCTACAGTCTATGGGGTCGCAAAAAGTTGGACACTACTTAGCAACTGAAACAACAACAACCTTTCTTCCACATAGAAAATTTTAAAAATATATATGACTGTGAAATTTGGAATAGCAAGAGATCCTGCTTGCTAGTGGATCGAGGGGAAAGAGGAAAACAGACCACTGGCTTTTCAAAGAGCAGACCAAACTGAAGAAAAGAGCAATGTGCTGACAGCCTTAATAACAACAGGAAAAATAAAGCCTTTTTCTGGAAAAATATATGTATAAAATAATTAACTGACATTAAATATTAACAATGAATTAATGAAAACACAAAACACGTTATTTATGTAGGAAGTTTGTTCTCCTTTATAAAATATGCTGTTTTAAAACTAAAAATTATTTCATACATGATCCAGGCAGAAACTAGTGTGGATCTCTAGCAGTGAGTATGGTAAGAATGAGGGTAGATAGAAGTGACCTCCAAATGAGTCTCATTATTGTCTCCTGCCAATTCACTGTATGAAGGGTCAAAGTTCAAGAATTCTATGACTGAATGGATTACTAGGTGTCAGACCCAGTGAGACCCAGCACCCCCCTCGCCCCCATATTTGTGTGGGAAGGGTGAGGAAAATGAAAGCCATTTGCACCTGATTCTGACACCCTGTGTCTCCTTTCTCCACTTGCCAGCTCTGATGGGGAGGGACAGTACCTTCCACCTGGCATTGCCTCTGAGCAGCTTTGTGAACTCCTTTGGGCTATTATGTTGGTTGGTACTTTGGCTTCTTTGGCTCCCAGCACCAGCTGATGCCCTGAGCTGAGTCCCAGTTGGGCAGGCTCTATTGCTCAGTGCTGTAGCTGTCTCCAGGGCATTGTTCTTGAGACTTCCAACAGGGCGGATTTGTGCAGTTGGCCCATCTGGACAAGATCTATAACAAGTAGAGCTCTGTGCAATAGGCTCATCTCCATAGTCCACCCCCCCACTACCCCCGCCTTCGGGCTGCAGTAGCCTGACACCCCAGCCTGACCGTGGAGAGTATCAAAGAGATACTCTCTGCTCCTTTCAAAGGGGTATTGCTTGTGGCCGCTCATTGATTGGCACTACCTGGGCAGAAATGGGAAAACAGGAATTCTCTGCTCCCTCAATTTAATCTCCTTTCTTAAGCCAGTCCTTTAGTTTGGAATCGCCTTGGCCACCATAATTAATATTTTCAATAAGATTAATTTCTGGTCCAGCTACCCTGGTCAGCCCAGAATGCTCGCCACAAAGCCAAGAGACAAGAGGAATATCTCCACAAGGAGCAAAGGGCAGACAAGCTCAATAGGGAAAAGGGGGAAAGAAAGCTGAGCTTTTGGTTTGTCTGTAGGATCTGCTTTGGTCATTGGATTTATTGACTTTCAATTTTGAACACCTGTTTTTGAGGAAGGGCAAAAAGGAGGGAGCGAAGGGGAGGGAGGAAGATATGAGGCAGGGGAGAGACACAGAGAAAGAGACTAAACTTACATAGTTAATTATTCTAGACCCAGAAAAAAAAGACAAGATGTTTAAGAGATTGTTTGATCACTTCTGTCTTCCAGCTGTTTAGCCCTGCACTTTAATCTTCCCTTTTACAGTTCTTCCCAGTTGGATCATTTCAAAGGACTCAGAGTACCAGGCCCATGCTTCCCCATGTCCCAGTGTCAGGCCTGACACTCTCTCTATTCTGATATTTTTTGGTAGCTTCAACTGACTGCTCCACCTCCTCACTGTGGAAAGAGAAGGGAAATGAGAAGGATTAAGAAGTATGTCCAAATTATGGTTTTCTAACCTCGACAACTCCATCCTGATCTTGGCCAAGTCAATGTTTGTCCAGTATAGGGATCCTCTATATACCTAGTTCCTTCTCAGGAGCCTCTTAGGCCACTTTATCCTGGGCAAGGTTGCATGGCATTATTATTTGCTCACTAAAAGGAGGTGAAGGAGCAAGTTGGAAATGAGAGGTCCTGGGAAATAAAGAGACTTTAGAGAAAAGAAGAAACAAAAGGGCAGGCAACAGAAGACTCTCTGAGGGTAGTTTCTGTATTCTAATCCTCCTAGGCCCTACCACCTTAGGCTCACTTTTCTTGAAAGCTTTATAGCATCAAGTAACTTTCTTAAAGACTAAGCATCTTTCTCTTTTTACACTCCACAGCAGTCAAACACACCCTGCCATGATGTTAGCTAGTTAGGGAATACAACAAATATTTCTGAGACCAGGAAATTTGGGTTGATCTGGAAAGGTGATCTTTCTGAGAGTCTTAAGATTCCTGGCCCCATTTTAACAGTGTTGAGGTTCCAAGGAAACTTGAAGACCTCTCTGTTGGGTTGTATAGCAACGCCTTACCCCAGTGTAGCTGATGACTGTTCAATCTCACTGAGTAGTGGGGAATCTGTCCCCTTGTCTTCCTCCCAGGGTCAAAGAAATCTGACTAAGTCACACAGGGCAGCACTTGTGGATGGGAAAGATTCCTGTTTGACCCATGGTAGGAGGGAGAGAGGGCATGGTAAAGGTCAGACTCTGGCTAGGAGGTGGCAGGGCAAAGATTGGTGCAGGTTAAGATGATAAATGCCAGAATTTAGTAGCAGTGTTCTGAATATCCTCTACCAGAGAATTGAAAAACAGAGAAGCTCCAGTCAGGGTTATCCTGGCCACAAGAACATAGCCAAACCTTACTTTCATGAGAAATGGAATAGTATGGAGAAAATCTGGATGAAGATAGGTGAGCCATCTTTCTAAGTACAGCCACCATTGGCACCATGCATTGTAGCTCCACATAGCTTTGGGATTGGCTGTTGAAGTTCTGAGTGCAAGATCAGGAAGGGGCTGTCCAAGCCCTTGATGGAATCTACTGGAGAGGGAAAGCCCACAAGGAGAAAGCAGGAAGCCAACAACTGGACTCTTAAGCTCCTATTCACAGTGCCTGGTGGATATCTTCTGATCGTAGCACTTTATAGACAACCCAGTAGAAGATGTTGAAGATGAGGAAAGTGAAAGGGAAGACAGCTCGGGAAATGGTGTCAATCCTCTTGGCCTGGTCCACGTAGAGTTTTCGCATGGTTTCTCCTTCCCTTAGAAGTGGGGCTGGAGGTTGGGGGCTATAAATGCCAGAACCTTCCATTGGACCTCCATCCCTTGCCTGCAGGCAGTGGCCCAGGCCATAGCCACGGAAATAAAAGCGACTTTCATGGATGATATCTTCCTCCTGGAATTACATGGAAGAAATGGCAGAATTTGAGGTCACAGTTCTAAAGTAGAAGAATAGAGACCACACCACACAAGTATCTCAGGCGATGCTATGCAGACAGGGTAGGTGGGTACACAGACTCATTGCATGCTTTTTTATGGTCACAAAACTGTTCACGAGATAGATGTATGCTAAGCAGCTATACGTGGTATGTATGGTATATGTTCATGATTCCATTTGCAGATAAGCCTTGAGCTGCCTTTGTAAAATGCATAACATCATTTAGAGCCATCTAAAACCCAGGAAAGTGCCAACTTACTGTGAGAGGCACATCTCAATGTCAAGTTATCTCTGACTGGTAATAAACAGAATAAACAGAACAATGAAACCTTTAGAAAGCACAGCTGAGATAGTTAGACTTGGAAACTTGACTTTAATGACTTCCAAAAGCTGCAGAATTATTTCTCCTTGTACAAAGTATTTTAAAAAAATGTTTATCTCTGAAAATTCCAAAAGTTTTAAATAACCTAGTGGGTTATCCGAATTAGGGTAAAGCTGATTACGCTCTTGCAGATGTGTGTGCTTCTAGGGTAACATTTATTACCCAATACACATTCCATTCATGTGCAGTACATGAATTCTGATGAACACATTAACACTGAAGAGGTAAATTTTATCTAAGCATTAAGTAATGTAGCAGACTATACAAAGTTCATTTGTCCAATAAAAATGACAACTGACAACCTTAAGTAGCTACAACAGAGCTGGGAGTCAGGAGGTAAGGCCAGAAAGATAGGTGGATAGAGACCTAGAGAGAGATGGAGAGGGAGAAAGAGAGGAAAAAGAGAGAGAACCAAAGCCCCCAAGTGGTCAATAGAACTTTACTCATATAAGAGTCTTTCAGGGCCCAACTCAAAGCCTATTTATAGTTGGTTTCTATACAACCCCAACCTGCCCCATTTTGTCTCCTAAAGGACACACTGCCATCACAAGTGGTGGTTCACAACCTAGAAATTAGACATAGGACAGGTAAGTATATACCACAACCTAGGAATACTTCATTCAAAGATGATTATAATTTTTTAAAGTATCAATGTTTATAGCAGTAAAAGCTTCAGCTATGTAAGAAATAACCTCTTGTGGGATGGTACCAACTATCTTCTCAGTTTGCCCAGAACTGAGGTCTTCCTGATACTTAGGACTTTCAGTACTAAACAGAATAAGGCACATGTATATATTGAATGAATGTGACAGATATACATAAAATGTAGATAAAGTAGATTTTACACATGCTATGCAGTTAGAAGGACATCATAGGGTCTTTATCACGGGACCTCTATAATTATAGTAACCCATTTAAAAGTGGCTTTGTCAGTGAGATGTTGGTGTGGTTGGTCCCATTAATCCTTGATTATGACAGCACTAGAAGGCCTAGCCTGTCACTGGGCATTAGAGGTGGACAAGCTCAGGTCAGAGATTTGTTAACAGATCCTATCTCTTTCTCTACCTGCTGTAGGCTCATACGTGGGAAAGGACGTCAGTCTGGCTCACCGCTGTGTCCCCAGCGCCTAGCACAGTGCTGGCATCTGATAGGCACCCAGTAGACATTAGCTGAATGAATGAATGGACTGATGAGCCACATGTGGAATACAGGACAGGGAATGGTTTTGTTCTTATGAAGCCAGCATCCTCTCAGGATCTCAAACTGAAGAGTCTACTCAGAAAAGAATCTTAGCTACAGAGTGCCTGGCAGAAAAAATGACTGTTTCTTGCCCCACCCCTGCACAATGGCTTGAGGCCCCTTAGAAAGAATGGCATCGTTGGCATAGGGAAAGGTCTCTCTAAGTCTTCCCACCAGAGAGCCTTGCTACCCAATCCTTGATTTTACCAGCTTCTGTGAAGAGAGTTGTACATGTGTACATGCATGTTAGGTCAGTCCCATCATTCCTGACTCTTTGCAATCCTATGGACTGTAGCCCACCAGGCTCCTCTGTCCCTGGGATTCTCTAGGTAAGAATACTGGAGTGGGTAGCCATTCCCTTCTCCAGGGGATCTTCTCTACCCAGGGCTTGAACCTGCGTCTCCTGTGACTACTGCATAGCAGGTAGATTCTTTACCCCTGAGCCATCAGAGAAGCCCTGTACTTGTGTAGGCCAGAGGCAATTCACCCTTGTGGTGGTGCTTTGACCCTGAGTTGTGATAGGGAGACCTCAGCTCTGTTGTATAAGTTCTTTACACAACCTGTCACCATAGGCCTTGGCTCACCTCACCTGTATTCTGTAGTTCATTTTCACACTGTTTCTTCATGACAAGTTGTGCTGGATCCATTTTACAGATTGAGAACAAGAGGTAAACAAAATAACTCCCAAGTAAGTGAAAAATGTCCCTTGAACTGCAAGGAGATCAAACCAGTCAATCCTAAAGGAAATCAGTCCAGAATATTCATTGGAAGTACTGATGCTGAAGCTGAAATTCCAATACTTTGGCCACCTGATGCAACGAACTGACTCCTTGGAAAAGACCCTGATGCTGGGAAAGACTGGCAGGAGGAGAGGGAGACAACAGAGGATGAGATGGTTGGATGGCATCACTGACTCGATGGACATGAGTTTGAGTAAGCTCCAGGAGTTGGTGATGGACAGGGAAGCCTGGTGTGCTGCAGTCCATGGGATCGCAAAGAGTCAGACATGACTGAACAACTGAACTGAAGTGAAAAATGAGGGAGTAAATAAAAAGAAGTTTTCTTTTGCTTTCTAGTTCAGAGTCCCTCAGACTCCCTGTTCCCCACTGCTCATCCTAATCTCTGTAGGTATCCAGCTAGAGGATACAAGCATGGAATATATTTGTTTGCAAAAAGCTCTGAAAGAGAAAGTTAAATCCAACTTTTGCTATTTCTGTTTCTATATATCTAATTATTTTCCCTTTTCTCCAATCACAGTAAACCTAAACAGAATTATTTGGAACTATATTTCAAGCTGGAAAAAGCTGTTTCCCACAGGAGAGAAAAAAATGACCAATAGTATGTCACCCTGGGCTCTTAAAAATTTTTTTTTAACATATTGTACCACTTGTAGTTGGGGTAGCAAAGATGAGTGGATTAAAATTCAAGGGTGAGGGTCCTGAATTTGGGTACTGCTTATTTAGGCCAAATTCAGACGGGTGTGTGTGTGTGTGTGTGTGTGTGTGTGTGTGTGTGTGTGTTGGGGAGGGATAATGGAGAGCTAAACTCCACTTTGTGGCTTTCATGCTTCCCAGGTGGTTCTAGTGGTAAAGAATCTGCCTCCCACGGCAGGAGACACAAGAGACATGGTTGGATTCCTGGGTCAGAAAGATCCCCCTGGAGAAGGAAATGGCAACCCACTCCAGTATTCTTGCCTGGGAAATCCCACGGACAGAAGAGCCTGGCAGGCTACAGTCTACAGAGTTGCAAAGAGTTGGACATGACTGAGCACACTAAGCATACTTGTGGCTTCCATGGCTGTTGAAATGGAGCATTTTTTGTGGCAGATATTTATAGGGGATGAGGGCTGGGGAACTAGAGAGGAAAGATATTCCAAAATCAAGTGGGGATGGGAATGCACAGTGTGGGAGATGAGGTGTGAAGATGGGAAGGATGGATTGATATTGAATGATGTATATTGAAGTGAAGAGAGGAGATTGGAGAATGGGGAAGGGTCCTGGGAAATGGAAAGAGGCAAGCAGGGTTTTCGGACCAAGTTAGAACTTCCTGAGAGGATTGGGCAGTATTTTAAATTTCTTCCATTTCTCAAGCTATTCTGTTGATAATGGTAAGGCTTTTTCCTCTGTCCATCTTGAAAGAGAGCCCTTGCCGATAAGTCTGCAAAGATTGGCGGATTGGTTTCTGTGGCTGCTGTGTCCAGAACCTAGTGCCAGGGCCTGATGAGGTTATAAAAAATGAGAAACAGACCCTTCTGTGTGAGGCTTCTAGACTAGCTAGGAAGACAAAGCAGAAATGTCTAGGAAAAAAAATAAGCTATCTTAGACTGTGACATGGAAGGAGACCACTACAAAGTGCAAATGGATGGTTGAGATTTGGGATTTGAGAAGAACAGGATGAAGTCTGGAGCTTGGTGAACAGCTGACTGACTTCTAGAATACTCCTAACTTGCTCTTGGCTAAGGGATCCTTGAAAATCATATGGAGTCTCTCTCTCCCTTAAGAGGGCTCCTCTCAGACTGAAAATCACTTCTCTAGCTGGAATAGCAGGGTCCAGAGAGAGGTTCTAAAAATGGATCAACCCTGTATCAACTTTTTCAGCCCGCTCAGTGACCTCCAGGATTCAGCTACATTACTTCTGGGATAGCAATGACTGTAGGAAACTCAAAAAGGGACAGAACTAATGGTACAGTTAATGGTTTTCAGGTTTTATCTACATTAATCAAAAGCCTGGGCCACTTTGAGGCAGGATCCAGGTGCCTAAGCAGGGCCCAGGCTGCTGTTATAACTATGTAATAATTGAGCACTGATTATGACAGGATTCATTATGAGGTCAGGATCACCCGGTATATGACCAGGAGGGGATAGGCTGTGGGGAGTTGGAGGTTGGAGAGGTGCAGGGATGGAGGTGGGACAAGTGTCACCCTGGAGTAGCCCTACAGCAACCACAGCAGTCTTCTGTTACCAGGACACCTGTAGAGGCAATTTAACTGGGAAAAGAAGTCTGGAACGGGTTGGCAGACTGTTCTTTTCTAAGGTAAGCATGGAGAAGGCACCAAGATTAAAACCCTTATAAAGATAAGACTTGGGTACCTGTGGGCAGGTTCGACACAGCTAAAGAGGTGGGAGCAGTTAACTTACAAAAAGGTGCACCTACTTTTCTTGCCCTTCTGCCAAGTCCATATGTTCTTCCCCTGAGCCTCTGCCTAGGATAGGAAAGGCTTTTAGGATCTTGATAGGTCCTATTCAGGGAGGTGCAGTTGTGGATCACTCCACTAGAGGGCGTGTTTCCCAGACCGCAACTCAAGGACTGAAGCCGGGGAAAAAATGGATGAATTCTGACCAACCACTAGATGAGACAGGAACCCTGCCCTCAGCAGAAAGGGACCTTAGCAAGGAACGTGAAATCCCGGAGGTAGCTTTTGAGGTATTTTTAGTGCAGACATATGGTAAGGGTACTCCAGGAGCAGCTGAAATGGGAGGTGGGGCTGTTAGGAAGAGAGAAGAACCTTAGTGTTAGAGTGGCCCCAACAAGCTAGAGCCAGTTTGCTTAGATAGATCATTGTTTTCTTTCCCCATCCAGAGATCGTATGTGCTTTAGTGCCTCCAGATTAGGCAGTAAGCAGGGAGTTGGAGCTCAGTATAAGCCAGAACTTTGTGTGTCTGATGATTAAGTGCCCCTTATGTAGCTCAGCAAAGACTTTTAGTTTTGCTCACAATTGGGCACTTCCTTCTGTGACAGTGGCCCAGGCACTTCTGTTGTTATGACAGTGTACCTAGCACCTATCGTCTGGTGGGGGGAGGTGAGGTTGCACTGCTTCTGTTGTCATGAGGACATCCCTACTTTGCTTCCCCAGGTGATCACAAACAAGAATGAGAGAAAATAACAACTCATGCCTAAAAAATCTGATGCACCCAATGGAGACCAAGGCGAAGAAATGAAAGAGCCAGAAGATGCAAGGGGCAGTGTTTCAATTCCAGCTTAGTTATGGGGATCCTTTTATAATGCTCCTCTAGAAAGGCACCAATGCCTGACTTGAATTCTTAACCACCAATCAGTATACGACAACCTGGGGTACCTTCCTTCTGGGTGGGAGGAGAGTCAGGAGCAACCACTACTAATTCTCAAAGCAATCTCGTGGTAAGTCAGTCGATAAGGTTCTAATATTGGCTAATATATTTGCAGTGCTTACTATGCAGGGGAATCTTCCCATGCTGTTAATTTACTCTGTTAGACTGCCCTACAGGAATGAATGTCCCATTGGACAGATAAAGAAATGGAATCAAAAAGGTTAAAGTACTTAGCTTATTTGTGACCAGCCTGGGACTAGAATCTAGGGTTCCTGACTGCCTGTCTAGTCCTTGCAGTCTAGATTGAGTCTTGATTTGTGGGAGGAGTAGTAGAAAGGAAGGAGTCCAAAGGAGAAAGGAAGTGGGCTCCTCCCTAGTTGTGCTCACCATGCGGTGGCGCCTCTGCCTTCTTCGAAGTCGAATGAATTCCTTATGCTGACGAGAGACAAAATTGACAGCAGCGTACTCCAGCAGGGCAGCGAATACAAAGAGCAGGCACACGGCCATCCAGATGTCGATTGCCTTCACATAGGACACCTGCAACATCCATCAATGGAAGAGTCAACCTTCCTCAAGTTCTTTCCCGGCCTCTGCAGTGGATTACCAGCCTGCATCAACTGCCTGCTATTCTGCAGCTTTATCCTGAATTTCTTCTCATGTTTAAAGAAGCTTTTCTTGATATGTCCCATTATCTGAAGGACTATGTCAAAAAGATCAGACTTGACCGATCTGCTTCACCCCTCTGCCCTCTTCACCCTCTACTTCCATCTACTTTTCCTCCCTATACTTCTTTTCCTTCCTTTCTTTCTCTTTTTTGAACTTCTGCTTCTGCTTCGTATTATCCTTTTCATTCTTATCCTCTTCTGATTCTTTTCTTTGAATAAAAAGCAATGAATATGAATGCTGGATTTCTTTGCCTTCTGTTCTCTCCTAGGGTAACACAGCTGTGGTGGTAATTGGGCAGGATGTGTTATTCCCAAGTGAGACATATGAGGACATTCGAGGCCTAGAAGGGAAAAGTCAGCCAAGATTACCCAGTGAGAAGATGGCACTAGGGCTTAGGGATTCTGGGCATCAATTCAGCAATGCTGCGAATTACCTAGGTTGCAGTCTCAATACCAGACTATGAGTTCCCTCCTTTCCTTCCTCCATGTCTATTCTTCCTTTGACCCTATGATTTTTCCCTGCCATTCTTTGCAAGAGATTCTGGTGAGGATTTGAAATGAGTGGAGAGCAGGGGCCTCATCTCTCACAATGAAGAGCAGGACAGGGTAGGGATCCCAATGGGGTGCACCATCCACCCCCTGCTATGGATGTTTCTGTCATTTCAAGAATGCTGGCTTCTGATATCCAGTCCCTAGTGGTCTCCTCTACTACCTGCTTTGGTAGGTTTCAGGTACCATTAGCCCTCTGTATCCATGGGTTCTGCATTTGAGGATACAGAGGAAACATAAGAGACTTGAGCATCTGCTGATTTGGGTATCTGTAAGGAATCCTGGAAGCAATCCCCCAGGGGCACTTGAGAGATAACTGTACTTTTCTCTCCCATTTCCTTTGTGAAGATTAAATGCTCACTTCTCTTGAAACAGGACTGTGGCTGGGTGGGGCCAGAGGGGAGGGCAGAATTCAGGTTTATGAAGTCCTTCCACTTCCTCAATCAGATCACCTCCTTACAAAGTTTTGAGTGGCTAAGCTCACCTTATGGGGTTCCCCAGCAGGAGTAGGATTTATAATAGGCAACTTCTTTCACTAGCCTCTGCTATGTTGGACACTGAGGATGCTGCACACTCCTGGTAAGGAGCAGGTCTCACAAGAGAAACCTTCCACTTCAGCAGCTCTTAATCAGGGCTGACCCCCACACCCATTTCCCCACCCCTCCCCCCACCAGGGGCATTTCAAAATGTCTGGAGACATTTTTGGTCACACAATTTTAGGGTGGTGCTGGCAACTGGCTTCTAGAGGCCAGGGATGCTGCTAACATCCTACAGTGCACAGGACACCACCCCTCCCCCTGCCAACCCACACAACAAAGAAAAATGATCTCACCCAAAATGATTATAGTGCTAAGATGGAGAAACTCTGCTCTATTTCTTTTAGGGTAATTCTATTGAGATGATAGTGGTGAGTTGCTAGGCAACCCTGATTAAGCATCCCTTGGTGTTTCCACTTTGCTACCTACAAAGAGGGCCTCCTATTTCATTTACCTTCTCCCAGTCCCACTGTGCCCCCAGGGATGTTAAGAAAGTGCTAGGAAAAACCACAATGAGGTAATGACAGGGGAGGTCCACGAAGGGCTTTGGACCATCGAAAGAAAAAGGACATCTTAAGAAGCAGGAAGAAAGTCTTGTTAACAAGAAGCGTCAACAATGCACTTTAAATATCTCTGGAAATCATCCACTTACTATCCTGGCTCATCTGAAGGATTGCAACAGCTTCCTAAACAATCTCCCTGCATCTCTGCTGGCCATTTCCAATCTGTTCTTCAAACAACAGCCATGATTTTGTTTTCAAAATGTAAGTTTGATCATATCATTCCTCTGCTTACAACCCTTCAGTGGTTCTCCACTATCCTTCTGATACAGGCAGTGTTCCCCTCGGCATGACACCTAGCCCCTGCCTACTTCTTTCAGCTATACCTTGTCCCTTGCAATCTATGACCCTGCTATGCTGATCAATTTCAGTTGTCTCCCAAGGGGATCATCTCTTTGTGTGTATCTCTCCTTCACCTTGATGATCTTTACTTAAATGTCTACTTTAGATACCATATCCTCTGAGAAGTCTTCCCTAATCATCCCAGTCTGGGTTGACTGCCCCTACTGGATGTGCCCAGGTTACCTACACCTGAGCATCCATCAAATATACCTGGCTCTTTCCTTCACTAGATTGTAAGCTCTTCAGTGGCAAGGACTATTTCTATCATGTTTGCTCCAGTGCCTAGCTAAGAGCCTGGCACATAGTATCTTTTGAATTAATGAATAGGTGGGTGGTGTATTTGTCTCTGCTGGTTCTGTTTGCCCTCTTAGCCTTCTTTGTTACTACCTGCCCCAAGAGCTGTGGGCCATTTAGATGACAGGATTTTGAAAGAATTTGGTCCCTCCTCCCTGCTGCAACTTTAGGTCTAATCTGTCAGTCTCTAGCAGAAACTTCCATTTAACCCTCCATTATACACTGAACCAACTGGAAGTTGTATAGATCAAGAACCTGGCAAAGAAACAATGATGGGTGCCTTTAGGAGCCCTAGCCCTCATAAAGGCAGAGAAAGAGCAACTTCCAGTAGCATGGGAAGTGGCCGTCCCAGTTGAGTTCCCTTACAAAGTGAGCCTCGGCAGCTCTCATCCTGGACACTAGAGTAGTATTGGGGGTGAGATTGCTTTTGGCTTTCAAAAGCCCCTGATCTGGCCCCACATTTTTCCTTGGGGCTCCCATGAAATCTAATGTTGCACAAACTCAAGAGTGAGCAGAAGCTCTCTGACTTAGTCCCTTGCTCTATGGGGCTGGCCAATGAAACTTTTTAGTTCAGGGTCTATGCCTGCGTATTTTGCTATTGGCCAATGAGGCCAAGAAAAGGTCATCAACATAGAGAACAGACTTATGGTTGCCAAAAGGGAGGTGGTGGGGTAGGGAAGGACTGGGAGTTTGGGATTAGTGGATACAAAGGGTATATATAGCATGGATAAACAACAAGATCCTACTGTATAGCACAGGGAACTATATTTAATATCCTGTGATAAACCATAATGGAAAAGAATATAAAAAAGAATGTCTATATATGTATAACCTAGTCACTTTGCTGTACAGTAGAGATTGGCACAACATTGTAAACCTATCTATCTATCTATCTATCTATAAAGAAAAGGTCATCAAAATCTGATGAGAAGGTACCAAATACCACACCCCTCCCCCAAACCAAACAAAACCAAACATTCCTCCAGTAAAGTCCATTCTTTCTATGTGAGAAAACAGAATGATTCCCTGGAGCAGATGGATGGTGTTTGCTCACAGGAGGGGACTGGAGAAAGGAGTTCTCTCAGCAAGAATAAGGCATAAACTGAAGCAACTCCCTGAGTTAGAGGAGAATTTCCTTGTATGGCAGCAGCAATAAACTAGGGCAGGGTTCTTAGGTCTGAACTACTTTTCTTCCTCTGGTCTTCATGCAAGGGCACTACTACAGCCTCACCTGGCCCTGTAGCCTTCACCTAAGCCCAGTCTGCCTCTCAGAGCCTCTTCAATATGCTTGTCATCTAGAGAACACATTTACAGGCCTACCTCAGAGATGTTGTGGGTTTGATTCCAGATCACGACAATAAAGCAAATTGCACAAATCTTTTGGTTTCCCAGTGCATGTAAAAGTTACATTTACAATACACTGTAGTCTAGTAAGTGTGCAATAGCATTATGTCTAAAAAAACTATATGTATATCTTAATTTAAAAATACTTTATTGCTAAAAAGATGCTAGCCATTATCTGACAACTCAGGGTTGCCACAAACCTTCAATTTGTGGGAAAAAAGCAGATCTGCAAAGCACAATAAAATGAAGTGCAATAAAATGAGGTAAGCTTGTATAGGAAATTATCTCTGACAACTTTCCATGTGACACGATCCTAATCTCAGCTTTGTCACTGTCTGTCCCTAGAGGAACTTAGGATCATCTCAAAGGTTTCCTGGTGATTCAAAAATAATTGAGAGTACTACCAGCTGCTTTAGGCCTAGGTCCACTACCCAGTCCTTTCCACCTAGACCCCTGATAATTATAACAATAACTAACAATTATTGAGTGGTTATTATGAGCCAAACACCATTTTCTGTGTTAATACATTATCTTATATATTTCTTGCAATAACCCTATGGAAGAGGTAATATTCCCATGTTACAGGTGAGGAGACTGAGCAGGAATTTACCTGAGATCACCATTAGTAAATGATGAGGTTGGGACTTCAGTAAAAATCTACCTGTCTCAAAAAAAAATTCCTGTCTCTAATCTCCTACTCTTAACAACTATTGCCTCACCACCCCAGTATATAGGAAATTTGTAAATTCAGTCTGAGTGTCCAGATCACCCCCTGTTTAAGTCCCCAGTAAAAGTCTTCTTAGGAGTAAACACTGGGAGATATGAGATCACAGGGCCTGGTTTCCAACAAAACAGAGCAAAAGGGAATATATTCACTATAAGAGCCATAAAAACTGTGTTGTTTTTGCTTTTCATTATTTCTCCATGGCATAGTACAGTACCTGGTACACAGAATGTGCTCAATAAATATTTACTGAATGAATGAATTAGCTTGCTCCCTGATCATCTCAGAGCCTTGCTGACTTTAAGGACATTGAGGTGATGACCTCTAAATTCTGTACATTAAGACATGAGGCAGGGAAAACCTGGGTCCAGTCCCATCAGCATAAATCTCTCTATGTAATTAAAATATCACCTGGCCCTAGAAAATCTGAGTCCACTGACTTTAATTGCTATTTGCTGCCTCAAAGTTTTCTCACCCCCAAAGAAGGGACATAATCTCTAGAGTTCTTTGTGATAGTATCTGATTTCTGACATAGCAAGAAACAGACATCAGTTTAAAATCCTTGTATTTCTTTGATTGTTCCTTGTGAAGCATGACCTTGAGAAAGTCATTCTCTCTCTCTGGGCTGTAATACCCTCATCTGTGCCATGAGGCAATGGGGCTTTCTACTTGCTGAGGGTCTTTTGATCTTGGACATGCTAGTATTTACTGGTGAAAGTCAAAGTCAGCACTGTCTACTCATTCCCTAGCCAGACAGCATCTGCAACCCCAGTCTCCACACTGTTTTTAATGTTATTAGCAGTGTATTCCAGGGGAAGAGAATGCAGGACACCTGCTCTTGCTTGATGGCTCTTCTCTACTTTAAATCCAAGGAAAATAGTCAGTGGGAGGAATGGGGGAATGAATGGTAAATGGGGAGCTCTGTGGCAGGCAAGGTCCCTGGCATGTCTCTTCACCTTAGGCAAAGAGGCCCGGGAGCCAGAGCTCTGAGTTGTCATGGTGAGCACAGTGGTGATGCCTAGGCCCACTCGGGCAGGGGCAGCATCCATGTTGATCCAGAAGGAGACCCAGGACAGGATGACGATGAGTAGGCTGGGGATATACATCTGAATCAGATAGTAGCCCATCTGTCGTTCCAGGTGAAACTTTACCTCGATGCAGGTGAATTTCCCTGCAAGGAAAGAGGTGAGGTGTCAGGCCGCAGGTCCCCAGCCAGCAGCTGAAACTGAGAGGCAGGAGTTGGGCAGCCCTATCTCTGTGGGCCAGCCTCTGGGCACCTAAGCTGGGTCAATAATTGAGCCTTTCAAAATGGTCCCAGGGAGTACCGGATGTATGTTTTGATGAAGCTCTCAGAGTAGCTAACAGGGAACTTACCTCTTGCTCCAAGCACTTTAGTTGCCAGCAGAAGGCCTTCCCATGACAGTACTGAAAGAGGATTAAGAGTGGGAGGGCTCCAAAACCAGGCTGGATGGATTTGACTCCTGAGCTTCTGTCCACTAACTGTGTGACCTCAGGTGAAACACCGAAGCTTTTAAAGCTTCAGTTTCCTTGTCTATAAACTAGAATACCAACAATATCCATTCCATCACTGGGCAATTGTAGGAATTAAGTTAGATGACACATTTAAGGTGTTGAACACTTAGGCAGCTGGTACTGTTTTTATGATTAACAAAGCGATGAGCCTAGACTCCACTCCAATCTCAGCATCCTTGCTGGTGTTTGCTGGGACCCCTGAAGCTCTCCAGCAATGATTCACTAAGATAAACACTGCCTGTGTCTTAAGCAAGTAAGAAGAGCTGGGTAGCAAATATCTGGAGACAATGTCCAACAGAGACCAGCTCTGGATGGTGGGCAGTGAGTTCCCAGACAGCATTGGGCAGCAGTGTTCTATTCCACCAACAAAAAGCGTGTTGGCCCTGGGCACATGTACCAATACTCTCCTCCTCTGCCAGTCACCTTCACTTTACCCTGCTTCCCATGCCCCAAGGCTAAGAAAACACTAGCTCAGAGCTTCCCCTGGTAGTAGATGCTTAGGAGAACCAAGGCAAAAAGCAGGGAATGTGTATACTTTTCTTTTATTGTGGCCCAGTCTTGCTCTTAGCAGGCCTGTCTGATTCCTCAAGGTTAGTGATTTCATCAATGACTGACTAAGACTTTGTCATGTGTGTGATGCTGTGATCTCCCACTGTTGCCTGAGTCCATCTCACTTCATCCCACTCCAGGCTTCTAGCCATGAAGTGTTTTTGGTATTCATATTTTCTTTCCAATGATAGCGGTTTTGTTTTCCATGACACAAGTAACACTTGTTTAGCATAGAAAAAATGTGAAAGGTAGAGAGGGAATAATAATATTCATAAACTGACATTTATCAAGTCCCTACTAAGTGCCCTGACTTTATATAGTTTATCTCATTTAAACCCCATAGTAACTCTTTGGGGCAGGTAAAATTATTATTTCCCATTTTATAGGTAGGGATACTGAAGTTCAAAGAGATTAAGTTATGTTTCTTGAGGGTTCCCAACTAGTAAATAGTGTGGCCAGAATTCAAACTCAGCTCTATCTGATTCCAGAATTCTTGCTCTTATCACACTGCTTCAGAAACACTTGGTGCTATTTCCTTCCAGGATTTTTTTTTCCCTTCCAGGATTTTTAAACAAATGCTTTTGGTTTGTTTCTTTCACCACAATAGAATCATTCTGTGTATATAACTTTGAATCTTAACCTTTTCCACTTGTATATTCCAATGTTGATATAAGCGCCTTGCAAGCATCCTTTTAAACCTCTGGATAATATCCCAGCAAGCAGACATGCTATGTAATTTATTTAACTTTTGCCCTATCAGTAGATATTAAGAGCAGTTCTGAGTTTTTGCTAGTATAAACAGTGACCCAGGAGCCCTCTTGGGGTCTAAAGTCAATGTGATTTTTTGGAATATTTCCTTAAAATAAATTCCAAGGAGTGGAATTCCTGGATCAACAGGTAGGGAAAAAATTTAGATTCCAGACTAAAGTTTCTCAGTATGCACCTTGGACCACCTGCATCAGAATCCTCAGGATTTGTGTTCAAATGCAGATTTCTGGGCATCACTCAAAGCACATGTAATCAGAATCTCTTAGAGGTAGAACCCCGGAATCAATATTTTAACAGGCTCCCCAGGGAAATACGATGCACACCAAAATTTGAAAACTATCAGTCTATATACAAATTGCCAGTTTTTTTTTTTCCTGAAAAAGTTTACACCAATTTCCACTCCCACCAGCATTTTCTAAGTTCAATGACTCATTCCTCTCCCCAACTACCTGCACCCCCACATACACAAACACATATTCATAGGCTTGCACCCAAAGCATATTAGCACACCACTGGAGGAACCCAGGATCTCCCTTCTTCAGGTTGTGGCCCCTATCTCAGCATCATAGCTCTTCACAACAGCCAAATGGTCAGTGGAAATGAGGAACCTGCAGCGATTAGGGAAGCTGCAAAAGGAAGGTGCTCAAGCTGGAAAAGCAGCCACTCTTCATTTCCCGACCCAGTTTTCACACCTGGGAAACCAAGTCAATTCATGAGACTTGGGCACTGGAGACAGTGGCAGTGGGTGTGGACAGTAAGCCAGCTGGTGCCCTGAATTCTGTTCTCTCCTTGTTCAATGTAGTCATTTAATACTCCCAGATGTGGAAATTCCTCACTTTCCACATGAAGTTGGCCCCAGGACAGGTGGAACACTCCGGTCACTCACTGACACAGGCTCATTTGTTCTGCAGCATGTGATAGGGACAAGAATATGGGCTTTGGTGGTAGAACATGGGCTTTGAATTTGAAATCAGTCATTTACTAACTGTGGAACTTGGATAACTGATTCAATTTCTTAGAACCTCAGTCTTTTCTTTCTGAGAAATGGGGCTGATCACCACTACCATAATGAGACAAGACATATGAGAAACTTCACAAGCCATTGGGCACAGATTGGACCTTCAATAGAGGCCAGCTGCTTTGCCCCTTTCCCTCCCATCTGGAGGCCCTTCATGCAGCCCACAGCCAGTAAGATCCTAGGTTTTTACCTGTGTTGTAGTGCTTGGTACAATAGCCTAGATCCTTCTCATCCCGCAAGATAAACTGAGGCAGAGTCAACCCCTCGGCCACTTGGACAGCAGGAGCATCTTCCAGCCACTCAAACATGAGGTCATTCATGGTGTAGCCAACTGAAAGTGAAAGAGATGGCAGAGGGCTGCAGAGTGTGGGTGTTGGTTGGGGGTAGGGAGAGGGTTAGAACTGGCAGGAAAGAACAGATGAGGAATAAGGCCTGGGTTTTAGGAGGTTTATCATGCTCATCTGGGCAAGAAAAACCATTCTGAAGAGGGTGCTTGATCAATTGCTTCATGTGCCCAGCCTAAGTGGGTAAATCAGAAAGATTTCAGATTCCTCTCCTACCTAGTTCTCAAGCATTAGAAAGTCCCAAAGAGAAATTATTCTGGCAGACCTAGAAAGCACATCAAAAGGCTTGAAAAGATGTCAAGGAACCCAGCTGGGAACCTCCTGCCCCATCTCAAACCCAGGGGAGTAAGCATGTGTACTGACCACATACCTTGAGCTGAGCCAGCCTTGGAGCTGGGGCTTCTGCCACCTCACTCCAGAGAGGAGAGAGCTATTTATACCCTGCCAGCCATGCATGGGCCAATGTGCATACCACAGACTCCTAGCCAGGGCCCTGAATTGGGGCAAACTGAGAGCTAACATCAAAAGTGCCAAGTTGCTCATGGAGAGCTAGAATTTCGTGAAGTCTCTTGCCACATAGATGACTGTATTCACACATTGGGTAGAAATGGGAGCAGAAACACCAAGGCTCACAGATGTTCAGTGTAGGGCCTTGGCCCAGAGTAGCTTTGTGACTTTAGGCAAGTCACTTCCCCTTCTCTAAAATGTTCCACTTACATTTCAGAGGAGGTAATGAGGACTTGGACGTGAAGGTGGTTTATGAACTCTAAAAAGCGGACCACATAGGACAAATTCTATCCATCACTATTGTTATATGTTAGAAACAGATTGATAAGACTTTTCTGAGGATCAAATGCATAACTCCTGATCTCACAGTCTCACTTGCCCAGGAAATGGCAAAGAAATGGACATGGGCGATGTCCAGCCTTGTCATCCTTTAGCTTCTCTGCACTTGGGACAGCCCCTGCAGGCTGTTACCCCATGCCCTTGGTAGCCTTTGGCTGACCTTGGTACCCTTGGCACTGTCCTATGCCTAGAACTGTCCTGTCTCACCTCTCTATGAAAGTAATCTGTACACACTGCTATATGTAAAATAGATAAACAACAAGGGCCTACTGGATAGCACAGGGAAATATATTCAATATCTTTTAATAACCTATCATGGAAAAGAATCTGGAAAATAATACATATATAATGGAATCACTTTGCTGTACACCTGAAATTAACAAAATATTGTAAATCAACTATGTGCTGTACTGTGCTTAGTTGCTCAGTTGTGTCTGACTCCCTGCAACCCCATGGACTGTAGCCCACCAGGCTCCTCTGTCCATTCTCCAGGCAAGTATACTGGAGTGGGTTGCCATGTCCTCTGCCAGGGGATCTTCCCAACCCAGGGATCAAACTCAGGTCTCCTGCATTGCAGGTGGATTCTTTATTGTCTGAGCCACCAGGGAAGCCCAAGAATACTGGGCTAGCCTATCCCTTTTCCAGGGGATCTTCCCAACCTAGGAATTGAATCGGGGTCTCCTGCATTGCAGGTGGACCCTTAACCAGCTGAGCTACCAGGGAAGTCCAAATCAACTATACTTCAATAAAAAAAATTGCTTATGTTCACAAAGAATCAGGATTCAAAGACTGCCCATCCCTGCCAACTCTGGATTTGCATAGGCATCTTGAATATGTTAACTCAAAGGAAGTAAAGATAGAATTACTGCAGGCACTGTGAGAAGGAACGTATCTCTGGACACAGGAGGTACTCCTCAAATGGCCCTCCACATCCAGCCCAAGCACACTGGTATATAAGGTTGGTACCTTATTTCCTGCAAATAGTGAGGGAATGGAAAAGCACATTAGACTGGGTGTTCAGGAGCTCTGGCTTCTAGTCTTACCTGGGCCAAGAGCTGACTATGTATGCTTGGGGAAGTCTGTCACCACTCTGGGCTGCCCTTCTCCTGTCTGGAATATCACAGCATGGGGTTGCCTAGTTTGTATCTCAGGTATCGCTCTGTGACTTTCTAGGGACACTTACAGCTCTCCAGCTGCATCGTGCAGGTCTGAATGTCCATGGGGAAGTTCTTGAGGTCCATCGGGCAGGACAAAATGAGAGTCAGCCTGGCAGGGACAGGAAGAAAGAAGCCAGGCTGGCTGACTGGGGCTCAGCACAGCACAGGGACCTTCCCCCCAGCCCTCAGCCTCTGCCCCTTGCCCCGAGTTCTCCTGGTCATCTACCAGTTGCACCTGATGCTGTAGAGCACGTTTCCGTTCTTGAAGATGCGCAGCAACTTGTTGTCTGTGGTCACCTCGTGGAAATTGGCCCCTTTCTCATTGGCAAAGAACAGGTCTGGCTTCCAGATCAAGTCCAGCATGGAGGGATCGAGGTCCAGCGAGTCATCAGGATATTCTCGGTAGGCCAGGCGTGGGTCGTTCCACTGTTGTCGCAAGAAGACATTCACCCGGTAGTCCTGGGAGAGGGCAGAGATGGGCCCATCAGAGGCAGTGTTATTGTAGGGACTAGCAAGCCTACCTGGACAGTAAGGCCATGAGGAGGAAAATGCTGGGAACACATCTCAGGGGCAGAGGGCATTTTCCACTGGAGAAGGAGCCTGCCTTGGGCTGATATGGCAAAGATGGGAAGGGAAAAGGCATTTACTAAGCTCTTACTATGTGCCTGAGGCTTTGCTAAGTGCTTTCTTCATATGCATCACCTTATTTAAATCTCACCTCAACCCTGAGAGGAGAGTGCTGTTATGATTCCCATTTTACAGATGAGGAAACTGAGACAAAGAGAGGTTTAAGTAAAACTGCCTGAAGTCATACAACTATTAGATGGTAGAGTCTGAGATTGAATGCAGGGTTTTCTGATTAAAAGCCTGTGCTAGTCATCAAGCTATCTTCCAAACTCGACCATCTGCTGCTTAGGCTAGTCTGCCTGTAGCCACAAAAACCCTGAGCTGGGGAAAGATAAACTCCTAGTGACCACCTTTGGACCTCCCATGGCTTTAGCCATGATCCTGAAACAGGGAGAGGATGGCGGAGGAAAGACTGACTTGCTATCTGGTGGGCTTTTCCCATTCACACTAGAGAGGAAGTGGGGGGCATGGAGATGCTTTACCATGGTAGTCTCGGTGATGGAGCCAAAACTGTTGATGAAGATATTGCAGGTCACATTCACAGGTGGGCCTAAGGGTAGCAAAACACAGCCATATTGGTAGAGCATTCCAGGAATCTGGGAGAAGATTCCAAGACTGCCTCTCTGAGCTGGAGGCCAGGGCCCTGCTGGGAGAAGGCAGTGCCTGGCACATAGACCCAGGGTGATGGGGTGGGGATGCTCCTTCTGGGCTGTGAGTGCTAGACCTGTTCCCCAGCCTCCTGGCTCTAAGGTAGGCAATGGGGGTGGCTCAGTGTCCCCAAAGTGAGTGGGGAGGGGGAGGGTTTGTAGGATGAATACTTCTCACCTTTAAAATTAGGCCGAATCCTGGCATCATACCCAGATGTTCGCCCCATAAGCTTGTCCAGGAAATCAGAGGGGGACATGGGCTGGGACCCCTTGGTCCCAGGTTTGACTTCCTCTTTTGCCAAGGCCACCCTGGACAGGAGAGAAAGTTAATCACTGAGATCAGTTGTGTGTGCATGCGTGCTAACTTGCTTCCATCATGTCCAACTCTTTGTGACCCCATGGACTCTAGCCTGGGGCTTCTCTGGTGGCTAAGCAGTAAAAGAATCCACTTGCAATGCAGAAGATGTGGGTTTGATCCCTGGGTTGGCAAGATCCCCTGGAGGAGGGCATGGCAATCCATTCTAGTATTCTTGCCAGGAAAATCCCGTTAACAGAGGAGACTGGTGGGCTATGGTCCACGGGGTTGCAAAGAGTTGGACATGACTGAGCACACACAGACTGTAGTCTACCAGGCTCCTCTGTCCACAGGATTCTCCAGGCAAGAAAACTGGAGTGAGTTTCCCTGCCCTCCTCCAGGGGATCTTCCTGACCCAGGGATTGAACCCACATCTCTTATGTCTCCTGCATTGGCAGGCAGGTTATTTACCACCAGCACCACCTAAGAAGCTGGAGATCAGTTATATTCTACCTTTATTACAGATACTTCACTTTCCTGTTCCCACCCTGCTTTGGCTGGTCTCCATATCAGTGAGGAGATTAGGAGATGGGTTTCTGCATGTCCACTTGCAAATGAGAAGAACAGAAACAGCCATAAGCCAACACAACAGCTCACTCACTAGTCAGTCCTAGACAATTGCTTTCACATATATTAGATCTTTTTGCTCTCACAATGCTCATGTGATGGGGGCAAAAACTGTTACTTCCATTTTACAAGTGAGAAAACTCCTTCCAAAGAAGGGGTGATCTGTGGGACTGTAAATCAGTGCAGCCACTGTGAAAAACAGTATGGAGCTTCCTCAAAATATTAAAAGTAGAACTACCATATGATCCAGCAATTCTACCCTTGGGTATTTATCCCTAAGGAAACAAAATTACTGTGTTAAAGAGATATTTGCACCTCTCCCATGTTCATAGCAGCATTCTTTGCAATATCTAAGACATGGAAAGCACCCAAGTGTCCATCAACAGATGAATGAATAAAGAAAATGTGATATATACATACACACACATAGTGGAATATTACTCAGTCATAAAAAAGCAGGAAAATTCTGCCATTTGCAGCAACATGGACAGACTTGGAAAGCATTATGCTAAGTCAAATAAGTCAGATGGAGACAAATGCTGTATGATCTCAGATATAAACATGGAATCTAATACATAAATAATAGATAGAAGGATAGATGGATAGATCAATCAACTAAATAACCAAGAGAAGAATGACTTGCCCAAAGTCTCACAGCTGAGGCCTTATCCAGTGTTCTCTTTCTGACAGTGTCTTGAACACATTCAAACATGAGTGACAGAATTAATGTGGTTGTGGCAACACTTTGTACATCTGGCCTAGCCAAGGATGGAAAGGGCTCAAGGGCAACTGACATCCCTAAGAGTTGGTTTCAGTTGTTTGGCCTTCATGCTGATCTCTCAAGGGCTAGGACTCAGCTTCTGGAGAGGGCAGTTTGGCTTCTGCTCCAGCAAGAAGCTACATTCTGAGCTGGACCTCGGTTCAGTCAGCTGCAGGCAGATGAACTTGCCTTTGCAATAACATATGCAGAAAAAAGCAGGGCTCTAGGAGCAAGGGAAAGACTCCCAGTAAAGAAGCCATGCTGCAAAGGTCAACTCCCATCTTATCTCCCTAAGAGCTTCATTTAAAGGAAGGGGCCAGTGTGGTTTGGCCTAGCCTAGAGGCCAGCCCTCTTCTCCCCCGACAGGTTTTCCTCTAAGGGGAACAAAGTTTCTCCCATACACCTGCTTGTCTGCTTACCAGCCGATAGCTAGACCAGGGACCAGGAATTCAGCAAGGGCTTGAGGGCAGGGGTGGAGCTGAAGCTAGACTCCTGGCTGGGCCCTGTGCCTGCTGCTCCATCCTGCCGTCATCACTAGAGCCAGCTCCCCTGTGCCAGGATGTGAGGTGACTGCTCTCCTGGGTCTGAGTCTCCTTTGAGCCAGTGTGCTCCTCTTTCCCAGTAAATCTATGTACCTGCCAGTGATTGATACAGTAATAAAGCTGAGGCAACATGCTAAACACTTTATCAGAGATCTCACAACAGTCCTCTCAATAAGTACCATTATTATCCTCCTTTTATAGGTGAGGAGTGCAAGAAGGAGCAATTTGTTCATGATCATACAGTTTCTAAATGGTAAAGCCAAGATTCCCACCCAGAGCTCTTGACTTCAAAACTAAGCCTATCCACAGAAGTAAAGAACAGACTTTTGGACTCAGTGGGAGTAGGAGATGGTGGGATGATTTGAGGGAATAGTATTGAAACATATATATTACCATATGTAAAATAACCAGTGGGAGTTTGATACATGACACGGAACCCAAAGCTGGTATTCTGTGACAACCTGAAGGTGTGGGGTGGGGAGGGAGGTGAGAGGGTGTTTAGGAGGGAGGGGACACATGTATACCTATGGTTGATTCATGTTGATGTATGGCAAAAACTATCACAATATTGTAAAGTAATTATCCTCCAGTTAAAATAAATTAATTAATTAAAAAAAACTAAGTCTATCTACTACAGTATTGAGATATGAGCAGCCCCAGGCAGGCTGCCGAGGAACCAGAGTTGGGGAAGGTCAGTGGCAGTCTCACTCTGACCCCTAGAGTCCTGCCTTCTCGGATCCCAAGAGCAAGAGGGAGCTTTTACCCTGGGAACAGAGGCCACCTTGACCCTGAGCAGGGGTTGCCAGAGCAGGTGGCTTAAGCATGCTCTGAAAATCCAAGGAGGCGCTGGTGCAAGCAAAAGTCGTCCGTGGCTTCACCATGGGACGTCCACACTGCCAGGTGCTGCTGCTGGCCACCTGCTGTCTGCCCCCGCCCCCAGGGAGGCCACGTGGACCTGAGTGTGGAGCAGCCAGACCCTTGCCACCGTCCTCAGATCCACTCTCATGTCATCTCCCCCACTGGCCCCAGCCCCAGGACCCTGGGACTGGCTGTGAACTCAGCTGTCCTGGGCCCCAACCCCCGTGGCAGCCCATCCTTTTCAATGTTACCTCATTTGTGGACCTGAGAGCAGAGTCACAGTGTGTAGACTCTCCTTTCTCCCATTCACTCCTGGAAAGTTCTAAACACCAGCAGGACTCAGGAGGTTCCAGAGCTGGAAATCTTTCTCATGGAAGGCCCTTGGATGGGGTAGAGGGGAGAACTCCAATTCTGTTATTGGGTGCCCGAGTGACCTTGGTCAGGTCACCTGCCCTCTCTAGGCCTCATTTCCCATAAGTTCAATGAAGGACTTGGACTCAAGGCTTCCTAAGGGCTCACTTTGCTCTAATCACCAAGAGGGCTTTGCTGCCACCAAAGCCTGGGCCGTGGTGTAATTTCCCCTGCACCAGGGCCAGCAAATGCCAGTTGGGTGCCCCCTTCTGCCTGCATCCTCATATCAGCTCCAGTTGAGCTGCCATTGCCATTCTACTTTGGGCTCCTTTTCACTCTGAAGAAGTTTATTTGCTCCCTGCCAATGCCACTGCATCCCTGCCTGCCTGCCCACTCATGTATCTGCCAGCACATGAGAAGGAGGCTCCTCAGGGGCAAGCAACCCTGGGGTGCTCCCTGAATGAAGAGGAGGATGATATTGCGGTGGCACTCACCCACCTCCACCTTGGGAGGCACTCTTCTGACCAGTTCAGCCCAGGACACAGCCATCTTTCCTCAAGCATCCCCTGTCCACCTAGCTTCCCCTGTCCACCTAGACTTCCCCCAAGCCCCCAAAGCCCAGGAAATAATGGCCACATAGTACCACTCCAGGGAGCAGCCAGGTGTCCCTTGGGCAGGGTAGGGAGAGTGCAGAGGGCCCAGCTTTGATCAGCCCGGCTTTATCCTAATGTGGTTTGGGGAAAATCCTGGCTCATTGTAAACTTTTGGGTGAGCAGCTGGCAGAGGTTGGTGTTATTTTTAAGGATCTGAGGAGCATGTGGTCAAGTTGGGAGGGATATAGGGTTGGAGGGCATGACAGATGGCTTCTGTTCAGGGGCTCACTCCCTAGCCCCTACCCTGACCCAGGAAGCTCTTACCCATGCAGAAGCCTTCCCATCACCTCTGGGGCTTTGACATCCTTCACGAAAGTCTCCTGGGATCTCAGTGGAGATGGGTGAGTCCACTTCTGGAGCCATCCTATCCATGGGCTTTTGGCAAACTTCAAGGAAACTCTGCCAGAGCCCCAGTTGCCCCCCTCCCCAGCCCGTGTTTGCATGCATCTCCTTCTTACCCAGACTCAGCTCACCTGAGGAGGACCTGCCCTGGCAGGGTCCAGAGGAGAAGGAAAGAGAGGGTTGCTGGATTGAGAGTTGTCATCCTGTGGGGACCCTGGAGTCCTTTTCTCAGCCTGGCTGCCAAGGTGAGAGGGGATACCCTGGGCAGGAACGCCGAAAGTACAGATCCTTCTTCCTGCTCAGGCAGCTCTCGAAGGGAACGTGAGAGGGGCCGGGCTAGGACTGGAGTGCTCCCTCCCCTCTTCTCTCTTCTTTGCCCCGTCCCTCTCAGTCAGGGGGCCAGAACTATTCCCCTGGAAGTGATCCTGACACAGATAACCCCACCAGCTCCTGCTCGAGCTCGCCTGGGTCTCCGGAGGGCCTCTGCCTGCCGGGGTGCTGAAGGAGATTCTTTTTGGGAAGCAATCACTCTCTAAACCCGGGAGTCTTGGAGGAGAGGGGGGAGGGAGACTGTATGAAGATGTTTCCCTCCCTCCCACCTCCCCCTGTGATGCACCCTCCAGAAAGCAGCAATTTAAAGGCACAGTCGCCGGCAGCTGGAGTCAGGTTCGGAGTGAGTCCTTGTGTGTTGTGTGCCGGGGAGGAGCTTGGGCTGTCGCTGCAGCCTGGAGAGGGGCCGGAGGTGCTCTGTCCAGCTTCTAACTCTCTGACTGGAGGAGTGCCTGCAAGCTGCCTTGCTTCCCCCACCTCCCCAGCAGTTTCCCTTTTAACCTGGAGCCAAGCGGGGGACAAACTCTAAAGTCTTAATGATTTTGTAAGGGGGAGAAACGACCTGAGAGGATTTAGGCAGAGCCACTGGGTATTCTCCAGGTGACAGTTTCAGGGCTGAGAGGAGGGAAGAAGGAGGAGGGGGAGGACAGGGGCAGCTTTTCCTCAACTGTCTGGATATAAGACAGGGGGATGAATGATGCACAGGAATTTGGGAGTCTTCTTCCTATATCTGCCTGCCTATCAGTCAGTCTGTCTGTTTGCCTACTTGCTCCATCTCCTTCATCCTTATAGTTGCACATCCTCTTTCCTGCCTACTTACCTCCCTCAGGTCATCTCTGCTGAGCTTGGGGGCTCTCTGTAGCTCTCTGGAACCTCCCTTTCCCCAGACTGGCTAGGCTGTGAGGAGGAATAGGGCAGAAGCTGGGGCAGGGCAAGCCTGGCATAGAGCAGGCTTTGTAAGCTTTGGAACAGTTCAAAGGAACCAAGAGCAATGACCTGACAACCCCAAAGCTTAGGATGGAGGAGAGAGCTGGGGAGGGTGGACCACCCACCCCTCCTTGCTTCTCATTTGCTTACAGAGTACAGCTGCTTGAACAACTCTTTTCCTGTCAACCCTTCCCCAAACTTGCTCAGCACCACCTGAACGGCTCTGGTCTAGGACTTCTCTGAGTGCCTCACCCACTATCCCTTCCTCTCTCACTTTTCTCTACTTTCTTCCTCCCTCTCTTTCTGAAGCTTTCCTTCATCTATACTTTCTCCATCTACCTCACTGTTTCTTTTCTGTGTCTCACCTTCTAGGTCTGTCTCCCCCTTTCTTTCACCCTCGCTTTCTCTCCATCCCCGTTTGTTTTCTATCTCAACTTCCCATTATCTCCATTTTCTCACTCTCTTCCTTTTAAGTGTGGCCATGAGAAGCCAAATGTTTTCATGTTTTCTTCAGTGGAAATTCTCACAACAGCTCTGCTGAGTTCTTGAGGGTGTGCTGGGTGGGGGGCGAGGTGGGTGCCACTTTCTTAGGATCAATACCTGAGCCCCACCAGAGAGGGATGTGTGGAGACTGCAAGCTCTTCTGCGGGATCCATCAGCTACTTAGAGGGATTAAAGACAAGGCCACAATGAGCAGAACTTGTGCTGCATCTCCTTTGTGGCTGTGTTATTATTAAAGAAGAGGAATTTTTAAACCACCAATGAAAAGGAAAGAAGAGGATTGTAAAGATTACACACTGAAATGTTGATGGGGGAGCTGGGCTTTTGGAATTGGGACTGGAAACATTATAAGCCTCCAATCATGCCTATATGGCCAGTAAATACAAAATACAAAGTATTAATTTTCCTAAAAACATCTTTAGTGGCTCTTTCACCTGCTTACCCTCCCGCCTTGATTTCTCTAAGCATCACAACCCCCAGTCCTTGGCTGGGAACCAAGCCTTACAGCACCTCTCAGGGCCGAGCTCCATGCTAGGATGCTAAGGGGGAATGGGAAGCAGAGGCACTTGATTTTTTGTTTAACTCACTCCCTCTGACAAGCCTGATCATGTCATTTCCCCTGCCTCAACTGTTCCCTATGGCTCTCAAGCTGAAGTTGAGGGAGTGGCATGACCTGGTCCCTCTGCTTCTCTGCCAATGCTGCACCAAAAGTCCCCTGTCTCTCCAGCATTCAGGTTGTTTCACAAATTGTTCGTCTGTCAGAGCCCTCTTCCCTCCACTCTTATTCTTCTGGACTAAGTTTTGCTGTCACCTTCTCAAGGAAGACTTCGTGGACTGCTCCTGTCACCCCCTGGGTCTGGGTTAGGAGACCCTCCAATGTGTTCCCACAGGACCCTCGCCTTCCCATTCACGGCATCCATCACACTCAGTTACAGCCACCCGCTTACTTGACTCTTTCCCCACTGTACACCCCATGAGCTTCCTGAGGGCAGAGCCACGTGATCCATCCAGTCCCCAGGGCCCAGTCCAGAGCAAGGGACATCCCAGGCCACTAGAGAACCTTTGTGAAGAGGCATCCCAAAGCACCCAGAGACACTTCCCCAAGCTGATGCCTCTGTCTCTTTCTCTGTCAAATGAGAATGATAATCCTGACACACAGAGAGAGGGTTGGCATGAGGTAATAGTAATAAAGGGAAATGATAATGCAGTTTTCCTTCTATTGCCCCTTAGTCCTGTGGCCTCACTCTCAGTCATCTGGGATTCTTGGCTAATGGAAGGCACAGGCCCCTGGGGACTGGTCCACTGGTCCATTGTCTTGGTTCTCGGCCCCTGTGTGTCCTGTGGGATCCCTGAGTGCCAAGAACACAGAGAGGTCAGCTTCTGGGGAGGAAAGACTCTTTCTCATGAGAGCTTACAGCCATGACCAAAGGTCTAGCTGGCATGTTGAAGGGATACGGCTTTCCGAGGGTGCTGAAAGCTGACTTTCTGGGAGAAGAAGGGAGGCCAGGGAGGCAAAGAACTGGATAAGCTACTCCCAGGAGGTGACAAGAAGCAGGGGAGATGCCCATCCAAGAGTGTGTGTGTTGTGTCCGACTCTTTGCAACCTCATGGTCTATAGCCCGCCAGGCTCCTCTGTCCATGGGATTCTCTAGGCAAGAATCTAGGGGATCTTCCCAACCCGGGGATCAAACCCACATCTCTTGTGTCTCTTGCATCGGCACGTGGATTCTTTACCACTGTGCACCCTGGAAAGCCTGCCCATCCAAGAGTTCCCTCTACTAATAGGAAGCCACACTTTCTGAAGATGGCCTCAGCATTTTCTAATGTGGGAGGGGCACAAAGTTGTGTCCAGCCTTGCCCCCTAAACTTCCTCTTTTGTTATTATCAAACTATGGTGTACATGAATCTGCATGTTCCAGACTGTATTGCCCTCTTTTCCTGTTTTGCATCTGGCAGCCCCACTGGCCATGAGAACTGGCTGGATTGTAGCCTGGAGATGGGGTAGAAGCTACAATAGACAAATGTTTTCCAGAATGAAAGATACTTATTTCATCCTGAAAAACTACTGAGCTGCTAAAAATGAATTAAGCACATGCTTTTAATAAATGTTTCATTCTGGGAAAGAGTCTGTCACATTTAAGCCTGATGCAAGGAAATTTACAACTGTGCCCTCTTGACAAGCATGCTTCTGAAATCTCAGTCTGAGGAACTGCATGTCTGTGTGGGGATGGGTATCATTTGATGAATTCAATGATTTCTAGGGCTTAATTTTGGGGGCAGAGTTGGAGAGTCATTTGGCATCCCTTCCTGGACCCAACTTGCCCATACCACCACCTATCCCACTTACTGAAGTAGAAAGTGGCCTGGGGGGTACTTCAAAAGTTAGACCGTGCCCCCAGTCTGAGGAAACTCTCAAAGCATTAGCTAATTTTAAGAAGTATTAGGGTAAGAAGTTGGGGGCATATGTGAAATAAAAGTCAGACGTCTTTTTAAAAATCTGCTGACGAGGACTGGGGCATTTTGGTTGGTTCTCCAAGAAGCAAGGTTGCATCTTATTGCTGTGTATGAGTTTTTCTTTTCAGGGTCATTTTCTACATCAAAGGATGTAACAGAGTTGGAGAGTCATTTGACACCCCTTGCTAGATCCAACTTGCCCATCCCACCACCTATCCCACTTACTGAAGTGGCCTTTACTCAAAAGTAGGGCCTCAACTTTGGGTGCTGAGGGAGCGCTGCCAGCCGAGGCAGGAAACCTTCACACTCTTCAGACTCAAGGAGATAGGCATAGTGTGTGTGAGTAATGGTGATGGGAGTTTCACAGGCCTCAATTCAGCTGGAGGAAGGAAGAAGAAAGAACAAAAGAACAGATGTATTAGATGTGTTCAGTGCTCTTCTCCTAAGACTTTGGAGAATGACTGGTTTAAGTCCAGTATTTACAAGATTAGCTTTCCTTATTTTATATTTCTGGCACAGACTTTGCAGACAAAGCCTGGGGTATCTGAACTTGGGGGAACCTGTGGAGGGAATGACTGAGCTCCTCTCAGTCCTCAGAGACAAAAGGAATCAGCACCAGGTTAGCATAGTGAACAATGGCCCTACCTCTGTCAGTAGCTCTCTGTTCAGTATGTAAGGAACAACAGAGAAATGGGGCTCCAGGCAGGGACAGTGTATTGACTAGCATCCTGATAGGCACCATTTTCCCCAGCTGGACTCTCAGCATCATTACTCATACCACTGGCCACTTGAGAACAATTCACTAGGTGTGCAGGAGAGTTGCATTAAGGTTTTCCCAGAGCTTGCCATTGACTCTCTTTGTCTCTTGGCTCTTGAACGTTCTTTTTCAAGGATAATAGGACCATGTAGCACCTCTTTTCAAAAGTAATTGGTTATTTGCTGGTGATCGTGTTCATAAAAATCTTATTTCACTCATTTGGGGATTGTGATCATCCATGATGTGTAAAGGGTGAAGCCCTTATATGACATAAAAGCCACAGAACCTGGAAAGATGAATAAACACTTACTGCGTGGTATGGATTGTGTTCCCACAAATCACTCAAGCACTTCAATATTTATTGAGCGTGCATCAAATGCCAGCTACTAGGTGTTATAGATACAACAGTGAACAAAGCCAACGAGGTCCATGCCCCTGTGTAGCTTACCTTCCAGTAAGGTAATGATGTAATTGCCTCCCGAAGAAGATTCTGCGCATGGGTTATCAGCAGTGCCCTACCTAGGGCTTGAGAACCTCTTGAAGCATTTGAGCTGAGCATTTATTATATGACCTAGAAAAAAAAGAGATGGCTATTTACTTATTTACAAAATAAAAACAGACATAGAAAACAAATTTATGATTACTACAAGGGAAATGGGGTAGAGGGAGGAGTAA